AGACGTGAGAAAGTATGTCGTTGCTGTTGCTTTCCATTCCGACCAAATCCTAAAACCTACAAATGTGAACCAATTCCAAACACTCCCACTGCGCCAGGCTTAGAAAACTGATTGTTTACTTTCGTTCATTTCTTTCATTTTGCAAATAAATAAATGTTACATTCACAGAAATATTTCATATTAAAGTAATTTACAATGACAAACAGTAAAAAGAATGTGTAAAATGAACAAAAGAAATTCAACTTAGTGCCAGAAATTTAACAGATCAGAATGTGAGTAAAGAACCGAGGCACTGCTTAATCTGTTGGATCTCATATCAATGCATCTGAGATCTATAAATACAAATTAATTGAAAGTTTTATAAAAACAAATAACTTCACAATCAGTAGAATTCTATAAAAAACAAATATGGACAGAATTTAGATCACAATATCTATGTGTTAAGATTCCATAAAAACCTGAATATTATTTTCGTGCTTTGTTTTCAAGCAAATATTTCTAACCACACAATTAGTGCTGTTTTCGAAGTTGCAATAATGAAATTAGCAATAATTTTATTCCTGAATTAATATATGAAAATGAGATATGCACCGCTACCATTTTGTTTTCTGAATATTAACATTGCTTTTAGTCTGATAAAGTTATAACATCAACAACGTTCTGAATGGTGTTTTTCATTGATTCTGAATGCGACTCATCAACCATTGATATCGACTCATCATTCACGAAAGACCTAAATTATCATACGAACTTGTTAATGTCAGAATAGCTTAGCTCTACCATTATCAGTATTTCAACAAAATTTGGTCCATTTTGTCATGTATCACAAATTCTGACGCCTTATTGCTGATAAATGCTAATCTAAAAAGCTTTTCACATATGATGCCGAAGAATACATTAAGTATTTGATTAATTTGTTTGCATGATTTTTATTGCGTTTGCTTGTAGTATTTGGAAAAGCATGCACAGGTTTCAGCAATTTGAACGTATCTTCAACTTCAGCTAATGAAGAGTGACCTGAATACAACAGACGGCAAAATCGACCATTTTCATATCCTAACACACTGAAATTGGAACTTTACAATTTAAGCATGATAATGTTCAGAATTATCAGAAGATTGTTTGAAAATTGATTTATAGTTGACCACCTAATTACTTCGATGACAAAAATTAACTTTTTTTCATTTCTTCTCAGAAACCATATTGCTGATGGCCTTATCACTAATACGTGTTCAGCATCAGGTCGACATTGCCAACAAGTTGATATCTGAAAAGTTCTTTCCATCATTAATGTTCTCACTATAACTGATTATTATTTTCAGTAATCTAACTTCCTGTTTGAAGATAGTTTCATTTTTCCGTTTGAATACCATACTTTGGTTATCTTCATAAAAGGCTTCTTCTGACTGATCAGGTTTTGTAGTGCATGCATGTACACGAGTGTCACGAGCAATAGGAGTGACGCAATCAACATATAGATCAATGCCTACAATATTCAAATTATTTATTGAGAAAAATCCTGCCCATGATTTCGAAAACTGCAGTAACAAAAAACTATATAAAACTTTTAAAAAAAATTCAAACTTGAATATACACGATACTTAGCCATTGTAACATGACACTTGATGCCAAGCTCATCCCAAATCGCTTTTAAAAACAGTTCATGGCCATATTTGCCTGAAAGTTTTCGAGCTAAACGCAATAACTTTTCAATTTTGAAGTACCTATCTAAAGAATGACTTGCATTCTGAACAAAAAACTGCAGCTCGAGTTTAAATATAAATTATATGAGAGGTTTATTATGAACTTGCATTATCCACTTACCACACCATAATAAAACTTTATTAATCGGATCTTTTTGTAGCCATTTTCTTACCATTTCAACACAAAGTAAACAACTTTGCCTAGGGGTAGGCAATTTTCGAAATTGTTTGCAGCAAAATGTATTATCAAAATATAATGCATCAAGCCTTTTAAAACCCGAACTGAAACAAAAATATTACGAGCAGGAAAATTTCCAATCATTCAAATTATTCTTTTAGTATATTGTTTCAATAAATTTTTTTCATCAAACAGCCATTCTAACCGAAAGAATTTACCTCGAAAATGGGTCCTTCAATGTTTCACAAGCAATCCAGTCATCTTTTGACAATCGATAATCTCCTGTGTACAGCAATTTCAAACCACAGTCGAATTCAAAAAAAATCCTAGTAAAACAAATCAGGCCACTGATATAAAATCTAGAGGAAAATTAAAAGCAAAATAAATTTGAAAATAGAGAAAACTATACCAGTAATATAAACTGCCTAAGAATCTTATATTCAGAATAAATAATTTTCATTACATGACAGAACCCGGAATGTGCTGCGCATCCAAAAATGTAACACTAGCAGATGACGACGGTAGTAACATTTTTTGTTCCGTGTCAGTACCAGAACCACTCACTATGAATTTTTCATTGTAATCTTTGACTACAATGTGTTCCTAAAATATATGACAACGGTTCTTCTCTAATGACAGAAAAATCATAACAATAAGGACTACTAGAAATTTCAGTTTTCATAGCATAAAACGAATTCACATCACACTGTAAAAGCAATTATAGCTAAACTTTGAAATTACCTTCACCATTTTAATATAAATTTCAATTCTTACTACCAGTCTTCTGTAACAAGTATCTGAGTTGAGAAGAACTATGGATATTCTATGACAGTACAATACTGAACATTTGTTCGCGATTAACTGATAGAACTGATCACTATTCAAGCCTTGCATGTGATCTAAAACATTGCAATTAGCAATTTCTACACAAAATAATTATGATCTGTGAATTTTATGGAATAAAATATTTTTTTTCAAAAGAAGGAAAAAATGAATAAATAATGTAAAACAAACAAAAATAAGTATTGCTGGAAAAATTGCTAGTATAAAGTGGTAGCAAACGAACCAGAATGACAATGTGATAAAAAGAATACATTAGAATTTAAATTCTCGCCATTAAAATTGTCAACAGATATCCAATTGCATTCATGAAATTTTCCACAAAATGGATTCATATTCCCTCCACAGCTGAAAAATATTGTTTTTGTTAATCTATTTCATATACGTTAATGACAGAAACACTATCCAAGAAAAAATTACTCCTAGACCAAATAATTGCAAAATAAAGTACTAAATTTAATTTAAAATCAAAATCTCAGTTCGGATTTTGATCATAATGTAAGCATAAATCAACATTTAAATAATTCATTAGTGATATGAATTTTTTCATAATGGACTCAGAATTGGCCTGTCGATCGATTTAAAAAGTGAACCAATAATACACACAGTGTGTATTGTTGGTTCAGTTTTGGGGAGGTTGCGTGTGCTTGGCGGTTAGTTTCCTTGCTTAATCTTAAACGTTTGGCCTTGAATGCTAGTATGAGGTACCATTAATATAGTGCCATTATTTTGTCTCCCTTCGTTGTACACGGGAAAGGTGTCAAGCTTTTTTGTTATTTATATTGCAGAACTTTTGTATAGAAGTGCAGGCAAGGACCATATTAGTGCCAAGTCTTTAATATGGCAGGAAGACGAGATTGTCGCGTATTTGTGGGCAATTTACCTGGTGGTGTGAAGCAAAGAGATCTAGAAGATATTTTTTACAAATATGGACGAATAAATTTCATAGACATCAAATTTACTAGAGACATTCCATTTGCGTTTATTGAATTTGATGATCCAAGGTAAAGCATTACGATATATGTAATACATACTTGGTTACTTTATTAATAAATGTTATTTTTTTAGCGATTTTATTTTCCAATACTCTTGTCTCGCATTCAGTTTTTGTATTCAAAATCTGCGAATATTTAAAAAATTTTTGACATTTGTTAGTTCTCAGGTCCGAAGATTGTTCAGTCTGAGCATTGTTACAGCTAATAATTAGGTTGTATTATAGAGATGCACGTGATGCTGTTCATGGTCGGGATGGGTATGATTTTGACGGATGTCGAATACGAGTTGAATTAACCCGTGGTGTCGGACCACGTGGTCCGGGAGGTCGTCCGTTATATGGACCCGAACCACGCTCACCAAGACGTGTTCCGCCTCCGCGACGCAGTGGTTATCGTGTTGTTGTATCAAATCTACCTAATAGTGGATCGTGGCAAGACTTGAAAGTAAAATTTATGTTTCTCATTTTGAATGCACAATAATACACTTCTGAACAGTCTCATGAATATAAAGAAAACTGCCATTATTTTCAAGTCGTGAAGATTACAGGATCACATGCGTGATGCCGGTGAAATATGTTATGCTGATGTTTTTCGAGATGGAACTGGTGTCGTTGAATACACGAATTATGATGATATGAAGTACGCTCTGAGAAAGCTGGATGATACAAAGTTTAAATCACATGAGGTATTGTAGTTTAAGACGTATTTGAAATTTCGGCTGATTTATTGAGTTACTTCAAATTTATCGACTTGTTTATTAGGGAGACGTGACATATATTAGAGTAAGAGAAGCAAATTCATCGAGCCTCTCTCGGTCACGTTCGCGTACACCGCGTCGAATACGTTCGTCTCCTAGATACAGTCCTCTTCGTTCTCGATCAAGGAGCCGTTCACGCTCGAAACGTTCTCGTCGTTCAAGTGCACGATCTGTTACTCCCGTTCATTCACGCCCGCGTTCACGTTCTAGAGTGAGATCCTCTAGTCGTTCTCGCTCGCGATCTCGATCCCATTACTGATCTGTAGCAGTACCATACTTCGTATCTGCGGATGAATGTATGCATTGTTTACAACTCCGTTTGTTTCACTTAATGTTGATGAGATATTTTTCTCAGTGACTATGATTCTAGTTAGTTTTTGCAAACACATATATTGTTTCTTTTAATCATTTTCTTCCTTATCATGAATTTATTGTTTTCATTTTTGCTGGTTTCATTTGTCTACTTTAGCCAGCTCCTTTGTAACTTCCGTGAAGTTTTTGTGCTTATTTAAAAAATTTCTTTTAAATTCCAACTTTGTATCAAAAATTGTTCGAACATGCAACTACGCAAGTGTGGTGAAGTGTGTACTTTATTTCATCTGTTGTTGGAAGGCTTATTTTCAGGTTCCTGTTTCGTAGATCCTTTGTTCTTCGTTTCAAAAATAAAATAATTTATTGAGTCGCCGGAATGATTGTTTAATGTTTGTAAAGTTAAGTGACAACCTCAACTTTTTAATTTCAGTGACGAGGGATCTATAATTCGTAGGACGAGTTTTCGATCTAAAATCTTTGTATTTAATAGTCGCTCGAAATTCGAAACAAAGTATTCGATTTATAATCGCTGACAAATTGGTTCGCCAATTATGCAGAGGAAGCTTTTATGGTTTCCTCACCGAGTCGATTATATCGATTTCGAAACGAGCAATTTTCGATTTCATGAGAGGTTTTTGTAGGTTTAAATTTAGTCAGGGAATAGTGCGGTTTCTTACGGAACTGTAGAAAGCATAGGTTCGCCCCTGTAATTTTCTTGGGACATCCTCAAAGGAAGGATGTGTAATGCGTTAGCAAAGCTTGCTACAAAATTGTAGATGTTTCCCTTAGTTTTGGAGTGAATACACACATGAATGTATGTTTACTTAAACTTGTTGGAAGAGGCGTGCCTGAGATATATACAGGTAGTTCAACGACCATTAATACAAATTATTTTCGATTTGTCATTGAGTGAGAACTTTCGTATTTGGGTCTGTTTGTTTTCCGGATAGTTTCAAATTTTTAGAGATAAGTAAGAAAAATGTCAATCGCGTTATATCGTGCAAACGTGCCTTATCTCAATAATATTGGGATAATTATATTATGAAGTTTATGCTTGAAAGTTGAGGGATCTACCTCAAGTAGCCAGTATTCCTTGTTGACAGCCGTTCGTTTTCCTCGTAATCTAAGGAATACTTGTCTTCTGCTAATATATGCAATAAATTAGGGCTGTTGCCCAATGTTGGCCCCAATTTACTGAGTACACTTAGAGCTTATTCATTTCTTGGAACTTTAGAAACGTTGTACCACATTTTTACCTCCGTACAAGTAATTTTGCTTCGTCGACTTCGCCTTTCACCGAATTAAAAGCAATGTGGTGTTACCCGTCGTTTCTTAATATGACTTTTGAGTTGTTTTTTTAGTCAATATAATGCATTAAATTAGGACTGACAATAAAGTAGTTACTATATTATATTATATGGGTTATATGCTTTAAGAAAAAAATGCTCTATGTGGTTGAATTATGCATGCGATATAGTGCTGCTCTGTGCAGTACGTTTTTCAATTGTGTGTTTCCTGCTATTGTCATTGTGTGAATCGATTGGTGATATGTGTGTATTTGATGGTTTTACTGTGTGGGTATGCAACTGGCGTTCTTTATTTTTTTGTTGTATGCATTAGGGGTATAATACGTTCTCTTAGACGTTTGTTCTTACTATCTTTTACTTTTAAGTATTTGAGCATTCGGTGTTTCATGACTGTAGAGTTTCCTGCAGCTTTTTCGAGTCGTTTGAGTAAATGCGAAACGAGTTGGATATAATTATATTTAATGTATTTGATAGTTTATTGTTTCAGTTAAGGCAAAGAGAGGATGGCTGGTCGTCGCGATTGTCGTGTATACATTGGGAACCTTCCTCCTGACATCAGACAGCGTGACTTAGAAGACTTATTTTATAAATATGGACACATCAACTTCATCGATGTTAAACTGACACGGGGTGCTCCATTCGCTTTCATCGAATTTGATGATCCTCGGTATGGATTCTTTTTTATCGGTAATGATTGAATGGTCGCATACGTTAATAATTTGATGATCCTTGGTATGAATTTTTTTGTATCGGTATTGGTTTGAGTGGTAGCAGACGTTACTAATTTAAGCGATGCACGTGATGCGATTCGTGGACGAGATGGTTACGAGTTAGATGGTTGTCGTATTAGAGTTGAGATGACCCGTGGGGTCGGGCCCCGTGGTCCAGGTGGTCGTCCATTGTATGGACCCGATCGTGGTGAACGTGATCGAAGACCACCGCCTTCCCGTGGTCCACCACGTCGTAGTGGATATCGTGTCTTAGTTACTGGTCTGCCAGTAACAGGGTCTTGGCAGGACTTGAAGGTACCTTTTTATTTTGATTTTTCCATAATAGAGGGTTAATTATTGTGTTTCAGGACCACATGCGAGAAGCAGGCGATATTTGTTACGCTGATGTTTTCAAGGATGGAACAGGAGTGGTTGAGTACACCCGACAAGATGATATGAAATATGCTATCAAAAAGTTGGATGACACCAAGTTCAAGTCGCATGAGGTAAGTATTGAAAATTTCCAGGATTTCATTTTCATACAGTGTGAAGGTCTAATCCGGAAGGTATTCCTTTAGGGGGAGACATCGTATATTCGAGTCAAGGAAGCAGCAGTTGATGACAGATATAGATCTCGGTCACGTTCTCCACGGGGTTCTCCGAAATACAGTCCGAGATCGGCTTCTCGCTCTCGATCTCGTTCGCCATTGCATTCTGGGTCACCTGCACGTTCTTCGCGCTCACGATCACAATAAAGATGTATGGACCATCGATGATTTTTTTTACTGTTGTTGTTTGGTAATTTCAGTTAATAATTGTTGCCTTTCCAGTACTCTGTGAACTACGTCTTTAAAGGCTTCAAACAATATGCTAAAATTATTTGTATGGAGGATTTATTTTGTCATTTGATGTAGTGATGGCGTTGTCAAGCTGATGATATTTTGCAATGATTTTTACCTGTGCTAACTGTGGAAGTATAGGATTGATATGATGCTTTAGCTTGTTTGGTCTGGTGCCAGCCGTTCATTACTTTAAGGTGCGATCAGAGTGTTATTGAGGGCGTCCTGAACAGATTTTGAAAAAAAGAAAATATCTTTCGCAGCAATTTCTTCGTTTTTCGTTGGATTGTTTGCATTAATTTCGTCATTGCGCGTATTCATTTCCTTGTGAGAAATGTTTTTTCAATTTTGCATCGTTTCGGATCTAATCATCCGAATCGTTTACATCTAGCATTGAGATTAGTACAGAAGTTCAATAAATCTGTGTTCAATTTTCCAATAATCGTTGCAACCATTTATTGGGAATTATTCTATTGTTTTTTCAGTGACGCCTCAGCAAACATTGTTTATGTGAGGATATTGATAGGGATAATCAACGATCACTACATTCTATTCAATCAGACCAACAGTATGTATTAAGTGCGACGCCAAACTTACGTCTCTGAGAAACAAATCATTTGCGGGACTTAGCAAAAAAACAAATTGAAGGGACAGTTTCGATTAGTACACCAACGAGTGCATCAGTTCTCCCGTATCCCCGATTTATTGGTACCGTTTCTGCAGCGCGTTACACGCATGCTTGGCAGCGAAACGATAGACTCTCTGCTCAAGTCTTCTCGAAACGAATCTTGGGCCCTGATAAGTTTTATTGACACTTAGGCTAAGTAGTAGTGGGTAACTTTTAAAATACTGGGTACCCCTGGCTTTCCAAGGTGTGTGAGATTAAAGTCAGACCTGCAAGTAATACTCTTTTCAAATCTGCGTATGTATTAGGTGCGTTGAAGTGTTTTTGGGACGGGAGGGGAAGAGTCTTTTTCAGGAAATGGTTATTCAGAACTTCCAGGATCGGATGAGGTTCTTGGAGCTCTTCAAGTTGCAGGTGAAGTGTCTGGACTTCTGACTTTTATGAACAGCAGTTCGCGATTAATTGTTTGGAAATGCAATCAATAAACTCTTTATATTGCTTGTTCGTTTCCGCATTAAATTTGGACAAAAAGATATACTCAGCCATACATATCAAATGTAATTATCAAGTTCTAATAGTATTCAGTTGAGTCGGTGTAGTAGGGTTATACATATTGTATGGGTTTGGTACTTCTCTTTGCACGAACTGTAATGCTGTTATTCCTTGGTGTATAGTAGTGGTTTCATAAAATAGGATTTGAAGTACCCGCGGTTATTATTGTTATTCGCATACAATGACAGTGGAAGGAGAATAAGACGGCATAAGAAAGAATGCCTGATTTGTCTATGGGAAAAGTAGGCTTTATTTCTGTAATGAGAACTGTTTGTTCAGTTGGTCATTTATATGATATGTTTGTTGTGGTTTCTTATTACTGAATTAGCGGTATAAGGACTTGAAACCAGGCAAATAACGCCTAGCTGGAGATTCCATGAAGTAGTACTGCTGGATGTCCTGCAGATAAGTTGTTGGGTCTGTGTGTTTAGTGTGCTGTGAGTCCTTCATGGTCCGGGGTAGTTAGTCAAGTGCACAAATGGACTAGCTCGTCAAATCTCAAGTCAATAGTTGCGTGTGCGGTGTGTTTGCTATGTAGCTGCTCATTCAGGAAGTTTTGTGCTTGCAGCACTTAATCAAGAAAGACAGAAGAGGAATGTAATATTCGTTCGACATAACCTGGTAGTTTATTTTGTGAAAAACTATCTGCTCAATTAACGGAATACTTGAGACGTTTCAAAGTGAACTCTCAATTCACACATGCAAACTACCCCCCACGACAATTAACTAATATCGATATACAAGCAAGCAAGACTTCCCTTGACTTACATCACCCACTGAAGTTTATATGTTTGGGGAGGCGCGTACGCCGTCCCCACACGCAAAAATTTTGCTGTTGGCGTGTCTCCATTCGAGACAGCCACACGGGTCAACTCGCCCTGTAGTGCAATGGACCAGTCTCACCATGGATGTTCCTCCCTCTTGACCGAGGAACTATCCCAGCCAGGTAAGTTTAAAGGGTAATGCTCCGATCAAGCCTATCAACTGTTGTTCAAAGTTTTTAGTGGGTTTTATTAGTTGACACATTGAATACATTTTTTCTTTTTCCTTCTCTTTCTTTCTTTCTCTCATCTCACAAGACCAATGGATCCATTCCATTCAGTAAATAAAAAGAGCAAATTTTCTCCTTCAACTTTATTGAAATTCATGAGGTCAGTTCCAAGTAAAAGGTCAAATTTGCTGGCAGAGAAATTTGAATAATTACAAAAAGAGGTGTAAGCTCAAAATCAATAAAATAGTAAAATTTTATAATTAATTATTTATCAAATATGACTGCAATTTACTAAATTTGTTTAATATTATAATTGCAAAGAGGGTGTAATTTATATTTGCGTGTAATTCATCAATCATTTAATTAATTTACGCAGTAAGCACTTAGTGAATAGAGTGCAAAAGTTGACTGTATTTATTGTTGGTAGAAGTATTTTTGTTGAATGGTTGGTTAGCTGGGTAGCGGTGGGTCAGTCTCGGCATGGCATTTACTCTCTCAAAAACTAGTAAATTTTCACACACTTAGCAGTGCATCAATCAGCACGTGTAACTCTGAATCTTTTACACCCTCGCTCTGATAAAAGTGCTGAAAATTGTCCTCACTGAGCACTTTAGTTTATTTCTAAAGCTTACTAATGCTTAAAAGCTAATTTTGTAAGATATGAAGCCAAAGCATTATAATGGACACAAAATGACACGAACTTTGATTACTATTTGGCCTTATATTATTGAAAAAAAAAGCATCAAAGCATTCACAAGCAACAAATTACGCTCAGAAGTATTCTTAGGGGTCAGTTTCAGCTTTGTACTGCTTTAATAGAAATAAAACTTTCATTGTATTCTGCAAATTTGTAAAAATGAATTTTTTATTGATTTGATAAAATCTGTTTTTTGATCATTTTCGATGAGACTTAATTATAATTTTATATCATTCGAGAATTTATTGATTAAAGTTTTATGTGTAATAACGAAATAATTATGATAATGAAGCAATTTTATCATAAATGATCATACACTTTTACGTTTTTATCAATTCAATAGACGGAAAAAAAGTGCTAAGAAATGATAAAACACAAATCAACGATATTATACCGCACAAGCAAGCATTCAGATTCAAATTGTAATTAATTCTGACTGCGTGCACTGGCATTCTTGTTTGCAGTCAAAAATGCTAGCAGATGCATCATCAGTATGTTGGAAACATTATACGATAACAAATACAAATTTCCCTCCTAGGGCACACGTAACAGACTCATTCAATTCTCATAGACATCTACCATATCCCAAACAGATTACCGATTATTTGGATCAATTTGTAATTGGGCAAGAATATGCGAAGAAAATCCTTGCTGTCGGTGTTTATCAGCATTACAAGCGATTTTTGCATAATGTCAACTTAATGGAAGAAAGATCTGAGGTACTTTCTTAGTCTATCACTAAATATTTTGACGTGTTAAGCCTTCAGTTTCTCTACATTTATTCTCACATTAACACTCTCTTATCTAAATCTTAGATTTGTGATTTTAGCAAATTTCGCATGAATATTCATTTTAAATTTTCAATCCTTCAAATAGCATTCTGCATGCGTTCACTAAAAAATAAGTAATAAATTGCAAGCTAATTACGATTAATAAGTTGAATTAGGCATCTTTTTATTTTTTAAATTACAGTTATGGCTATTAAATTCTTGAAGATTGCATTACTATGCTGCAAAATAGAAACGGTAAAAAAACAGAAATGAAAGTTAGCAAAGAAATGCTTGCTCGTTTGCAATATAAATTTGATATTTAAATGATAGCAAAAATGAATATATGAAGCATAAATAAAAATTAATTATGCATAAATAAAGATTAATTATGCAGCAAAAATAAGCCTATGAATGAATGACTGAAAGTTTTATAACGGAAGTAACGCAGTTTGCTTTTGATTAATTTGTGATTATGCAGCAATGTTGATAATTAAAAGGGAATAAATGTAATTTGGAAATGTTTTCAGAGTGTGAGTGTCAGCTGTTTGTAGATACTGCTTCTGTTAAGATAATTCTCAAATTGAATGCATAAATTTGAAAGGGATATCATTTTTAAAAAGTGAACCATAGTAATAATAATTGATAATTTTTCGATGCAGCAGGACTTGGAGAAGAGCGCCACACAGAAATTCATCCCGGACTTATCGGATATCAATCAAACTGCTCCTGAAAATGTGATCTTAAGAAAAATTTTAGAGAAAAGGTAATTAACTTGGCTGCAAGGAAGGAACTGACTTTAAAATACAATAGCGCAATAACTGTAATAACAAAGCATATTCTCTTCTGATGAATATGAGTGAAGTATTTTTTTGCAATGAATTTGTAAGCATTTTCACGTCATGCACAATTTGTTTACTTGACGTGAAAAGTAAGAAAGTGCAAATGTTAAGCTCAAAAAACAAAAACTTGAAAGTAATCATGAAGAGAAGAATTGAAAGAAGCAGTAGAATGCATGTAGCCATTGCTGAAACACGAATCACGACTGATTAGATGAGGAACTAAAGAGGAATAACTCAATAATTATGCATGTATTTTCTCAA